GTCATGGATTCCCCGATTGCCGATCTACAGATTAGACCATAAGACTACTAGTCTGAGACTAGTGGCAACGTTGGACGTTAATTGATTGGCAATCTCACGCACACTTGGAAATCCAGCCTTCGCTGAATGACGCCTCGGTTCTCCAATCCCCACACTCTCGATTCGGAGGGGCTTTCACAAGAACTTTCCTGAATTTGTGGACGATTATACAGTGTAAAACCCCAGGCTCTCATCCGCGACCTTGCTCAACATTGGGGAAAGAGCTCGAGCCGCGAATCGATCAGCCAGGGAGGAAACGTTCCTACCAGGCAAGCCCCTGGGATCCAGGGCCTGGGTGGGACGGGTGGGTCGACGAGATTTTCCAGACACTCAACATCATAGTGCCGGACACCGTCTCGCTTCGATGAGTACACGGGTGACGTGATTTGTCTTTCACGCACGTACAAAACTGATTCACGCAGCGGATTTCCTTGGATTTTCCATCGACAGTGTCGATTCGACATACAAAGTGTATCAAGCACTCAATATATACAGACAATATTTTAACTGCAAGGCTAGCTGGAGGCTCCGGACAAATTAGAGAAGTACTGTTCGCACCTCTGGCAACTTCAAAAATCTAATTTGAGGACATATTGATCCAATTTTTCGGATATTGTAACGCATCGTCCGATTTCTACTTCCCAGTCTCATGACTGGGACGTGAGGAGAAGGTAAATTCAGATTTTCACGGGAATATTGAAGGCAATTTTTCGCTCGCCCCGCGCCGTTTGTTGTTCACAGGAGGAGTATTCTCAATTCTTGCCCATAGTGACATTAGTCTCCGTCGCTGTGTTGTTCATAGGATGCTACTATCAGGAGCAGTGGTCTTAGGTGTTGGTCATAGTAACAGTACCACTAGTTGCACTCGCTCTGTTGTTCATGGGAGCATTCTGCTGTCCTACAAGCGGTCACCGGGATATGCCATATTCTACGGGGAAGATTAGGGACGATTAGTTTGCATCGAAGAGCTATAAGGACGATCATTTCGTTGTTCATACACAAGTTAGGCAAGCTGGGTACATGTTTTGTGGTCTATCTAAGCCCACTGATTACAATGGCATTGAAGCGGATTTTCTATAATTTCAGAAAAGGCAGGTATTTCTCCCGAGATAATTCATTACAACTAATGACGTAATGTCGAGTTCCAGAGTCTGCAAGTCTGAACTTTCTCAACTGAATTCTGCTAAAGACTTTAATTTGCCTTATCAGGACCACAAGGATTAAATCATTAATCTCACTTGCAAACACAACATAATTAGGGCCTGTCATTTCACAACTTCATCATCCAATCACGTGTACCTTCCATGAACCTTTCACGATCCACTGCGGTCTTCAAGCTCCTATTCCTATCGATAAAGCATACATCAGCATTTACTCCCAGGTCGCCCTTCTTACCTGTACATTTTAGCTGCAGCTAAATGATCTGTGAACTTGTTCGAAAGACCATACTTGGCTGAAGGGTTTTCAACCTTCTCTCCATAGAGAGTTCGTTCGGGTGGTCTCCTATTGCCGTAACTGTAGACAAGTTCACGATCAGACCTATTTCCGAATCGCTAACATACGCCTACCTTTGATTCGATCTTCGATAGAATACCCGACGATATAACTCTCCAGAAATAGGAGCGTCGATCTAAGACAGATATGAAAATGATCATCCACACAAACATCCTCACCTCGATAGGAGGCAGCCCACTGTTCTTCCTCAACAACTCCTTGGAGCCTCCGACTGCGCCATTTTCAACCTGCCATAACCAAACGTGAATACCAGGTAAGATCACCTAGACCTGATACTTGAGCGACCTCCGCGGTGTTCTCCAATTTCTCGAGTGGAGGAGGCGCCGCTTGAGACCCTTCTAGTGATTCAGCCGCGGACATTTAAATTCAAACTAGGATTCGCTAGCTGTACTATTCACCATCATGTTCGAGGCAGTTCTTATATCCGCCACCGCCACCCAGTAGCCACAAACACTGTTGAATTCTGTCAGCTTCGTATCCTACAAATAACACGTACGGCTAGATTTACGGCTATTCTGGGGCCCTGGGAAAACGGACGATTCTGGACCCCTATTCTGGGAGTAATCACGTCGCTGCTAAGAAATACATCGGATGCCAATGAACCCGAGCTCCATGGCGAAAGCCCTGTGTACAACATGTACAAGGTAAAGACACAATACCCATAATGTCGTTATTTGGACACCACCATCGACGTTATATAACTACAGAAGCCATCCATCAGTGAATAAACTCCACTCGTTAACCCCGTGGCCTGCGTTCGTTCAATGCAGTTAAAATCCCCAACCGTTTCCTCTCAAGTCCCCCCTACCCAACACCAACGTTTATGGGAATAGATAATGGTAGAAACAGTCGACCACAGGTACACGAAAGTACATAGTAATTCAACGTATTAAATAAAACCACAATACAATCAGCACAATGTAATGAAGGCCGTGATCCCCGAGACCAGGCGAAATACATAATCGATCAGATGGGCGTAGCGAGATCGCATCCGACCGTCGCTCAATCACACAGACCACGACCGGAAAGGCTATAAGGCTGATTTTTCCCTTTTGATAAGCAACATATCGTCATCCCGTCGTTTCCTTTCCTCAACCGAAGTTTCCTCTAAACTTTCCTTCAGAGCTTCTTCGATCATTCGGTCTTCCTCGAAACACGAAAATGGTATCGCTGAAATTAAACTTTCATATCCGACCCGACGACCCACCCCCTACCAGCGTCAATCAATCGGTCATTTCCAAACTTAATGTGATCTCGACGAGGAGGAGGCGCCGGGACCGGTATCAAATCCCGAACCTGAAAAATATCTTATCGAAATCGATCAATCAAAATATCTCATCCACTACCTCGTTGCGTGTCGACTCCTCATCACCGTCGTTCACCCTCTCCTCCCCACACGGTGAGAGGCTTTCCAAATCTAAGATTCATCATCCAAAATCTTCGCTGTGCGTAACACATCTTACCCAATATCGCATCAACTGTCGCCTCACATCCCAGAGTATTGATGAAAAATATCGCAATTGAATGCATCAAGAATTTCGGCCGAGTCGAGTTGTGGTTGCCGTCTACTTTAACCTTACAAAAATTCTCAGCCCAGAGGGGGATCGATCAATCCTGGTATTACCATATTTTTATCACCAGCATATTTTTCAAAGAGGGCATCAGTATTACGTGGGTTGACGAAAGTATCGTTCCGAGCCGCCGTAAACAAAGCCGGAATATACGTTCGATCGACCTGGCACGAGAAATGGTCTCTTTTCAGACCTATTTTGTATCTTGCACGCTCAACCTCAAGATACTCACATGCGCAATAGGCTGCAAATCGAATATGTCGAAATGGGCCTTGCTTCTAACAGACAACCTCAACATTCCCAACACAACACTGAGCATTATGCCCGGCAGTCTCAGCCCGAGTTCTTCAGCTAAATCACTCGCCAGTGTTCGGATGTCCGCGAACGCCGAGTCTATCTGAAATCAACAAGGAAACATATTTCCCGAACACCCTTGTGTGTTTGCATATTCCCACTCTACCTACATATATGGAGTGTAGTACGTATATCTAAAATTCCATCACTTGGGGAACCGTCGTCTATTACGAGAGCCCTTCACCGTTGGAATATATGTCCGCTATTCTCAGCTGAGCTCAGGAGTTTCCTCACTAATTATAGAAGTTCACATACGAAGTGTGTACAGAAACCAACCAAAATTCTCCCAAATTTTCTCACAATTTTCATACAGTCACCAAGACATGTAGTTGACCATGTGCATATATCCTCACCCCGCGTTATTATTACCACCATCCCAGCTATACTAGGGTCCCTGTCACCATGCAGCAGGGCAGTCACCGCTCCCATGCTGCGACCCCAAAGCCCGATCCTGCCTGATACACTCAGCATCCACATACGACCAATACCGCCACCACGACCTCACTCACTCACGAGCTCAGATCCTCGTAAATACTCCAATACGGTCGCTAAGTCCTCCTTCTCGTAGTATCTAAAGACACTCTCTAGTGGAGCTATCTATGGAATAGATACCACCCAAGACTAACATAGTCACCATCTGACTGACCAGAGCCGGCAAAGTCAAAAACAAAGAGACTAATATGGAGGGGCAGTAGAACCGGAATGGCTTGCAAGCCTTCTACTCTGGAGCTGCAATTTCCTGACAAAAGGAAATCAGTGATTTTCTCAGAAAAAATAGACAACTTTACACTCGTTGAAAGGCTTCGATTATTGAACAATCGGATGGAATATATTTTCGTGATTTTCAATCAGTTTTGAGATGGTTGAGTTCGGTACTGCGACGATGATTTTTCCCGAAAAATTACGCGGAAAATTTCTGGTTGTTCGAAAAAACTGTAGAAGAAAACTAAACCGTCCTTGCTTAGACGAACGAATAGAAAATCCACTGAAAATAATAATGGTCACCCTCCTAATATCAAACCCGTTTATTGCGACATCAATACCAGTCTAGCCTCCTTATAAGTATTACCATGCAAATACACCACACAGGGTGAAGCCGTCCGATTTCCCTCTACACTTTCGAAATGCCAATCCGGATGAAACCAACTACATTTCAATCGTTGCATTCGTGAATTAATAAGATCAATATCCTCCCGATACACCTACCATCACAACAATACCCAAAGTCGCTACCCAAGGCGCCTTACCGGTACGCCACTTATACGGAACTTGGCCGGTCCCAGATCGCTATCATTATAAGTGTCTCGAGAAGGGCGAATAATGGCCTTCCACAGAGCATTGTATTCAGAGAGGAGAATCATGCAAACTGCTGCTGCTGATCGTTACAATACCACACGTTGGAACTCTGCCAATTCGAGCTCTTAATTTCGCGCGCGCCCGAAATATGATTTTTTTATTTTTCTCACGAATTTCACGTGGTCAATAGACCTACTAAGCATAGGAAAGATCGTATGCTATTTTGTGGTGGGATCACAGATTACTGATTCCTGGTTAAACCGTTCGTGAGGAAATTCCTAAACTCGGCTGAGACAAACAAACACATATTCCAACACTGGATTGCAACTGCTGAGATACGGTTGAAGGCGCGATGAAATTCAATCGGCGATCGGCCACTGGAGGATGACCTTCCGACATCATTTGATGCGGTATATGAGACTAATACCAACGCAATACAGATAGATGATAACAACAGTTTACTTGGTAAGGCTACATTCAGTCACATAAGAGTAGCCAAGAAGACTACTCCCGTCATCATGGTCAACTTTCATCAAGTAAAGACACCTCACTATGAGGCATTCATTGACTCAATGTCGATGTTATTCACCCTAAAGTCTCTTGATCAGGAACAGCTTCCTTCGTCGAATCCTGACACAGCAAAGACTGATAATACATAAGTAGCAGAGAGGCTGAGCATATAACACTGACATAACAGTAACCCGACACCTACACCGTTCCCTTCACGATGCAGCAAGACGGCGGTATCGTCCCTTGAGTGGCCATGCACAGCATCGTTAGCAACGATAATCTAAGTACAATCAGCACGATGTACATGCAAACATAGAGTTAAGGAGAGAGTTATGATAGCGTCACTCAAGTGATTGGGCAAGTCATCGTTAGCAACGATAATCTGTGTGAACTATCATATGCGCTGTAACCCGGATGCGATCGGCGGCAGATGGTAATTGTGTACCCGTTCAGCTCGTATGTATTTCCCCCAATCCTGTTGATTAAACCGGAGTTCTCGAGCGTTGATAACATGATGGATACACTTCGAGACAGGGTCGTAGTGACTAAGGCGAAGAAGACAGTCCAACCAGAAGTAGACGATCGATTTCACTCACGGGTGTTTCGTGAAGTTCTGTGCTGAAGTCGACAGTGTACACACCGTCGAGTCCCCAGGAGAAAACCGCAGCTGATCAGCCCAAAACGATGTCTGATAATGACAACATCTTCGTCCGATCAGCCTAAGAGAATTCCCTACCGTCATTTTGCCACTTCGTATAGGACTGCGTGGCGGAGGAATGAACCTTCGTCGTTGCCTCCGCTCACGGTACCTTATACATCAGCGCCTCTCTGCAATAAAGACACAATCCCAACCCCTTACCGCGGTCCAGTAGCCGTAGCCTCCCACGGATAAGCCAGCCCGGATACAGTCTTGGATCGGGTGAGAAACCTGTCGATCGCTGAGTGGACCGGATTCTGACAGGGTTCGTCACTTAGTAAGGTTAGGTTGGAAAGTGCACTCCTGCTCCAACTCAGACTGTTCTTGGTTCCTCTCTCTTTCCTCGAAAGACGTATTCATGACACACATCGAGTGACCAGGAGACGGGGAAGTGTGGAGTCTGGATAACAAAGGAGCTATCGAGTAGCAGACAATTCCTGACTTTGTAAAATAGTCTGCGAAACTATAAGGGCTCTAAAATTCAAGTCTGCACAGGCAATTTTCGACACTCATAGATTCGTGGAGACTTTATTAAAGATGAAAGAGATCTCCACTGGGGATCTCACCCGGATGTGATTGCCGGACTGCGGGAAGCAGTGGTATTCCCAAACTCCATGCCTCGCTCCCTCAACGCTCTTCTGTAATTGGATGGTCGGGGCGGAGGGCCTTTCCATGTGTTTATTTTAGGCCTGAAAGTACACGGATCGACATCTCATTAATACGATAATGCACAACGACAAATGACGATGTCTCTCTCACTGTCTCCTCATTGCTTCCACGTCGGATGATCCAACAAAAGCACTGCGCGGAAATATTCCACTCTCTCCTACCTGAAGGTGCATTCTTTCCGCTCGATCCGTTCGAGTTCTCGCCGACGTTTTTCAGCCGCTTGAATTCGATTCTCCTCTCGTTGTTGGAGTTGAGCTTCCAGTCTCAAGTGGAAATTCGAAACTGACGCAGGGCACTCTGCTCATCCCCGTGGTACTGGCAGATCCCCAACTTCTCATACTAGCTACGCCAGTGAATATGTGATCGGAAAGAGACTTACTCGCAGTGGGCCGGCCATTGGCTTCTGTTTGGCCTGCTTCCTCCGCCAAGACACGAGGATTTACCGGAGCCGTGTGGATTTCTTCCAGCGGGGGTCTAGGTGACTCCGCCATAGGGGAAGTTACCTGAGGGACAAGGTATATCTACGAGAACCGCAAGAGAGCATTCAAGGAAAGAATTCTCCTCACAGTAGTCGTCCCTCCGATCTGGTAAGCTGTCGACTTCGCATTGAATACTGTTATGTCTCCGGTATTGTCGGCGACCCGGGCCTGGCTCTGATGGAAGGGGTTCGAGTTTTCAGCATCTGGGAAGAAAAATATCATTCCGATAAATGATCGTGGGTCATGTGGCACATGAAAAATACGTGATGAATACGGAAAATAGCTTGATACCCCAGCAGGGTCACCATTGATGCGAATAATATTGTTGCAGATCAGATCAGATAGAATTACCCATGAGAATTACCTCGAGACAATGGCCGAGACTTTTGCCTCCCACGACTCCCTTCTCTCCGCAATCGTCGATTTTGTCTCGTACTCTTCTCAACTGCCCGTATAAAGTTATGTCGATCGATCTCCCCACGGACATCGACCTGGTTAACCTAACCATAAAACAGCATTTCTTATAGTCGGGGGATATGACAGCAAAATAGCCGATGTGCCAATGAGGAGAAGAAGGAGTCGATATGGAGGGGGAAGAGGGGGAGACCGCCTCTGATCATAAGGGCGGCCAACCCGCACGTCAGCCCATTCTGTTGTTAGTGAGGGTAGTTGGGTGGTGGCGGGGGGCAGCTATGCCATAGCTCCAAGATACCGCTCTACGATTATACCGCCGTACTGTAGATGGATAAGAAGATGGGAAGATCTACAACATCGGCTGACCTTCAATAACTCCACCCACACAAGATGTTAGTACGACTAATCTCGCTTGGGGTCGATATGCCATAGCCTCAAGGGGTGTTAGTAATACCGTATTACTGTTAGAAGGATATCTGGCGTATAGCTAATTAGCTTCAGTACGACACCACCAGCTGAAACGAGCTTTCAGATTCACCTCCGATCGGCATAGCGACCCCATCTCGGATGGCATATCGACCCCATCCCTGATGGAATATCGACTCCATCCCTGATGGAATACCGACACCATCCCTGATGACATGCCGGTCCCATCACGGATGGCATATAATCCCCACCCCTGATTACATATCGGCCAAACCACGGATGCCATACCGATCCCATCCTAGATAGCATAGCGACCCCATTCCGGATGGAATATCGACCCCACCCCGGATGGCATATCGGCCCCATTCCGGATGGCATGTCGACCCCATCTCGGATGGTATACCGATCCCATTCCGGACGGCATATCGGCCCCATCCCAGACGGCATATCGACCCCATCCGAGAATAGCATATCGACCACTACTCCCAACATCTCGACCGAGTCGTCGGAGTTGATCAGCTACCACTATCCCCCTCCGATATCTTGAAGCTGTGGCATAGCCGCCCCAATTTCATCCCATTAAAAGTGGTATCCCCCAAGACCTACAATATGGGTGAGGGAATTCCTGAGTAAGTCCGCCTGGTCATTAGAAAGTGTGTCCACCAAGCGTTCCATATTAATAAGGGATATCCTCCTATAACAATACAAAGGATCATAATAAGGAAGAGAGGGATACCTACCGAGCCTGTCGAGGGTTCAATGCTGAGAACAAGTCCACGGCAGCAGCTGATTGTGGTGCCCGTTGTGGTGATAATGGACGTCGTTGAGAGACGAGGGAGGGCATGACTCATACAACGAAGAGAAAACGACTGTTTGTGAGGAGGTTAATCAGCTACCATTAGAGAGTTATCCTGGGTCTCCGCATCGCTGAGGAATCCGCCTTGTATTGAGCAGTCTCTGTTGACTTATCCCTCTCTTATACGGAGTGTACTGGCGAGATATGGTTATAGGCAAGTGACTGAGTAAAACACAATCTAGCGTAGAGGCTGCACCGTAGGTGACCCGATCTTCCGATCGGCTAAGGACGACTTTCCAAGGAGGCTCGAAACGAGCTCGCATAGAAGGCCTGCCTAGAATTGATTCGCCAGTCCACGTTCAATATCTTCCGACGATGTTGAACCTCAACTCATAAATGAAAACAAGTTTCTTTAATCCAGAGGACCTGCACACGCTTGGAAATGAACGTGACCCGAAAACTCGATTTTTTGGGCGCGCGCTATTAACGCGTCTTCTCAAGCATCCGGCGTGCTCAATAGATCTAGGCGCTCCTAGGATAAACTTTTTTCATGTGAAATCCAATCCTGGGACTGCTCTTTGAAGCTCAGTAGACATCCATTGAGTACGCTAATCGAGTTGGACAGACGGCACGTGGTTTCGTCAAGTTACCGTTACAGGTTCACATTGTCTTCATTTATTTCTCCCAGTCTCATGCACCATCGGAAAGCCATCTCCGCATTGGAGGGTACGAAGGTGCTCAGCCAGAAGTACTTCGATCCTCTACAGGATCCAGTCTAACTCGATGTGATCAGATATGAAGAGACGGGAGAAGTCATCTACGGTCAAGGCTTTACTTGCGTCGTTACTCTTGCTCGAGATAAGTGCACGAATAAGGTACCACTCGGGTTTGCCTCGAAAGACAGTAAAAACTGTTTCTGGATTATTGGGTCTCGAAGGCTTCGAGGAGGCTTCCTCTGAATTTCTAGGTCGAAGTTGAATAGTTGGATGAATGAATATTAGTTGTATGTGATAACAATCCCCGCCTGAGAGTGGCAGTAGTAGTAGTGGTCGATCGGTGGTGTGTGATATTAGGAAGTAGCTGTGAAGGCCATATTGAAGGCTAAACTGTACAGTGAAGCGGAGTTGGAAAGAGCGAGGTAGTAGAGATAGGGATGGATACGAGCATGTAGCGCTGTCTGTGTCGATCATTATCGAGGGAATGTATCAACCGAATTCATGGCCCGGCATATTCTATATCTTGGTGAGGTTAATGAACACATGTATTTCTATCACCTCGTTTGAAAGCTGCCATTCATCGTAACTGGATCCTCGATCGTCCAAGTGGACCTGCTACTCAGCGTTGAGAGTCTGATCATTGATTGGTATGGATTTCAGAGCCGAAGTGTCATGGCATTCACAGTTGTCACATCCACACATACTACCAGTACTGGATACAGAGGAGACCGAGAAGAGCTTAGTGTTGATAACACCTTATGGTGAGTTGTTCATGTTGTGGTGATGAACTACTATGGAGGTGGTAACTGTTTAGCACCAATGGGAGATCTCTATCACCTAACTAAGTGTGCTGTATTACCAGAGAGAGCTGTGAGAAACTGTGTCAGTCAGGTAAAATGTCATGGCCGGGAATTGAACCCGGGACCTCGGTTGTTTCTTTCAGTTGGTCAGTGCTATCGACTATCTGCACAGGAAGAATCTTGTACATGGGGATATCAAACCGGTAACGTGGGAGGTTGTGACCGCGCGCCACGAAATTCGGATGTATCATATTTAGCGGTCGCATGGTGAAGTTGATAAAGTTGTGGAGACTTGTAACTTTTCACTTATTTATGATGACGAAAAAATCTTACTGGATCACAAAAAATCGGGAAACTGTCGCTTTTTAATTGAACTGAACATTTGCTGAATTAATAAATATAGTTTTCTGAGTGCTGAGTAGAATTACAAAGTTGAATACTAATACACTTTCAACGACGGGTGAAAGTCTGTGAGTCAACAACGATGTTGTTTAGCACAACGTCCTCGTCCTCGAGCGTAAAGAGCGGCTGATTGTCCAGCTGTGTGATTTCGGCTTCACCGAAGCTGTGAAAGAAGATACGAAACAGATCACCTTTACAACATTAAGAGGTGGGCTTTTAGCTGAGCTTCGCTCCGCTGTAGATTTTGGTGTTTAGGCACGTCGGGTTACTTCGCGCCAGAGCAATTGGCGAGGAAAAATTACGATGGTGCGGTGGACATGTTTGCTTTGGGAATTATGGCTTTTACTATGTTATGTGTAGGAGGTGCTTCGCTCCGCTGAGAAAATGATGCATGTATTTTATTAGGGATATGAGCCTTTCTATCCTCTGAATGCCTTTCATGAGCCGATCGAGTTCCTGGATGAGTGTTGGAATGGGGTCAGCGATTTTGCTAAGGATTTCCTAACGAGGTAACGATGGTTGGCCGCGATGTAGCAAAGGCGTGGTATTGACTATTCATAATTAGCTTAATAATATATTGTCCATGTAGCCGCGGCGCTTGATACTTTATGTCGATTGTGTACACATCTGGATTTGAGAATTAATATTATGTTGTTCATAATATCCTACTTAGTGACATAATGTCTAGTATGCTATGCTACACTTTATAGAGTCTGTGAGGTCATAGCGTGTACATGGCTGATAGGGGGGGGGCGGACGTGATGTCGCGGAGGAGTGGTATGGTCACCGAACACTGGTTGAACGGATTGTTCGTTTTGAGTTTATATCTACGGCTGTTTGTTTGTGTCGGAAATCGGGAGTTCTCCGTGGTGAGGTTGTGTAGGGGAATCTTGGGGTTCCTCATCGTAAGATTCAAAGTAGGTCCGAAAGTTGTCCAATTTGGTTTTTTAGTATAATCAAGTGTTAAAGAGTTTATTCAGATGCTTACTGCTGGACCCGACTCAAAGGCTCTCAGCTGAAGAGGCCAGCAAACATCCGTGGTTGGATTTGGGCGCCCCCCTGGTAGGGAGTTTATATCGGCATTTCCTCAAAGCTTAAAGGGTCGTTGTTCAGCCCGATGGAGTTTGTGTGGATCTTGATTTGGATTTCTGGCATCCGGCGGAAGCTGCTACGGAGGGTGTCGATGTGAACTTCTTGGATTGGCAACTTACTCCGAGTCCTCGTGCAAAGGCACGGTAAGTTACAGTGTACAGAGTTGTCACTAAACTCGAAATGACGTGTGCGTCAGTTGTAGGATTGGGCAGGTTCGTGCTGTCTTATGCGTTGGTGACAATATGAAAATACCGGGTAGAAATTCTTATTGGTTTCTGAACACTTGTATTCAAATTGGTATATATATACTCCCAAGCTTAGCTGAGGAGAGCATGCATTCCTCCTCCAACGCTGAGGTCTTCATCAGGTACCCCAACGGTCCGGCATTGACTTCGTTGTTATACTCATGCGGCGATCGGGCAGCAGGACCACGACTTGATAATGATCCTTTATTGTCGCTAAAACATGGCGGAGCGAAACGGAGTCTTTTAGCTGCTGATTAGTGCTTGCGAATGTTGGAGGGAAAGAAGAGTGTAAAATATAGAATGTATTTTAGCGATGGTTTTTTCACTGATATTATATGAGTATTAATACGAAATGCTGCATCGCTCCGCTAGTTTTTTTTGTTCTGATTTTTGGTGGAGATTCTGGGATAAGATGATTATTCAATTTCATAGTACACTGTAATATGCGTAGATGATTTCATAGGGGCTTTGCCTGTTATGGGCCGCGATACCTCACTACAAAGTATATAGGTGATTTCAAATAGCGCTCGCCCAGATGATCGATATGATATTATCGGAATAATTTGTGGATTATTTCGGTTCAATTATATCCTGTATCGGAGTATCAGATTTGCGATGGTCGTGATGGGAGGATGGACGCCCAATTTTATTAATTGTTCGTTATCGGCGATGGAAGCGTGTTGAGTTGTATAAGTTCTATAAATGGACCTGTTTTGTATCTTACGCATGTCAACCTTGGATACCGATTATATAAGGAGTAGGCTGACAGAGAGATTACCATACGACATCCTTATTACAGTAAAAGTGGGAAGATAGAATGCAGTAGTTTGCTTGTGGAGATTTGCGCGGTTGGATCGCGGAAGGGGAATTACGATATTCCTCCATGTGAAAGGGTATATAGCCTTAATGGTGAATCTTCTTCTTACATGTATATGAATCTATTACAGTTAATGATTGGTTCGTGGGCGTCGGAGGTTCCCCTAGGTTTGCCTACATATCGTCGGGATCATCGTAGTAGTCTTCCGAACGATGGTGCTGCGGCTATTTGACTAGAATGTGTTTACCGATCATCTGCGGTTCTATGTTGCGCAATAGTTGTATCTTTATTGGCGGAATATATATGTCGCGATGCTACTGACGTGGCTTTAGTTATGTTGGCGTCTTTAGATAAGTCGGTACCTGTCAGCGTGGGAGCTAGGGTGGGCACTTCCCGGAACGAGTCGGAGTATGAAGGATATGTGCTCATGTTTGGTACCATTTACATGGTCAGTGGACACATACCACACCTTGTTGAAATCACGGATGGATACTGAGGTTGGTATGAGGGGAATGCTAAGCTTGGGAGTAATGGGAGATATTCTTTCTCGTTTGCGTGGTGACGGGGAATCCGGAATTGACACTTGCGTAGAATTGGATATTAGAGTCGCATGATCGGTTTGAGCTTATCGGGAGGCCTCGATGATTGTAATAATGCATCAATCGTCATATTTCCAACAAATAAAGATATACACTCTTCATGAGGTTTGCGGACAGTTCACGTCTGATAACATCGCCGCCTCACTCACCTTGCCAGCTTCGTTACATTCAGCGTCCTCAACATACGTACGTGCATCGACGGCTTAGAGAGGCAGTCTGCTTTACGCACGAATCAGCGTGCGTGCGAGCTGACCTACAACTCCGCCTAAATGGTCTCTACTCTTATTCGTTATTGGCCACATCACATGCGGATAGAGTGACCAGGAATAGTTTGATGAGCGGAGCCGATAGTTTGATCACCGGCTTGAGACAAGGATGGATACTTCCAGAGAAGAGTTTGACGAAGATCGGCCTTCGCGCCTTGTTGTTAGTAATATCAGATGGATACTATCGGAGGGACAGA